TGAGTTCTTGATGGGACGAATGCGGGTGAATTACACTTTATCGGACCTATTTTGTCCAGGTTATCGCCTAAACAACTTACAGCTGTATCTCTATACTCTCTGTATTTTCGTGAATGTTGTATACCCAATATTTTGTGACACGTCAAATCATCCTGGGAAAATGTAGCTTTATTTGTTGTTATGGGGTTGGGTTTGGCTTTCAGCCTAAACACACATCCCCCGCAGTGGGTTATAGGAACTTTTACAGAGTGTATTTGCCTAATTGTTCGCTGTGTTACGTAATTATTAAAGATATATATCTTAATCGAGATAAAAAATGACAAAGGATTTTATGGAAATCTGCGTGTTGAGTCTTCTGGGCTATTACTAGAAAGTAAAAGGAGACGTCCTGCTGAATGTAGCCCTATGTAGGGGTCGTTGTTGAATGTAAAGTAGATGTAATGTATGTTGGTATGATAGAAACATTATTCAAGTCTTTATGTCGCAAGATGAAATACATATGAGAAATATATTTTCTCAAGTTAAGTTTTGAGACCGACCAGCCTGCGCTATGGGCCTGCAGCATATCTGTAATTAAAATACTGCGAGGCTCAGGTTTCTTCCCTCCCCTTGATTAAGTTTAACTTTTCGCCCCTTTTCATTACATATTCGTATTCTTGTTTGTATTATATGTATATTTCACATTTCTGTGCAAAGTAAGACCAGTGTTCGTTATACTATTAAACACGTTTAATTAGCATAACGTTATACTGTACATAAACCTACTGTATAATTAATTATGTATTCTATATTTTATTAAAGTGTCTATATTCTCTTTGATCAGGCGTGTGTGGTTAAACCATATCAATGCAATTTTATCACATTATTTTTTCGTTTTTACTAATTTTATTCTTTCTAATAGCCCATGCCACATTTGCAGGTTTGCAGTTTTGTGCAAACTAAAGCACCGCCTGGATACAGCGGGAGGCAATCTACTTTGATTGAGGTAAATCTCGTGTATAGGCCCAAGTAGAGCGTATACATGTAATAAACTAAAAAAGAAAATAACATTTACCAAAAATACTCAAATCCAGCGAAGTGTGATGGTCATTACATGAACAACCGGTCCTCTCGCAACCACATGGCTTCAGACTTTGCTTTTCTTACCTGCGTGAAGAAAATGTGCGTTTATTTTTGCATACAGGTGTATTGGCACAAGGTCACGCCTATTCTGTCTTTGAATGAGGCGAGCCCTCGTGCGCCTTTGCTATATCCTAATAATCAACATTGTTATTCGATTTTTGCTCACACACACACACACACACACACACACACACACACACACACACACACACACACACACACACACACACACACACACACACACATACCATGCATACATCACTTCAGGGGACATTACATTGACTTACATGCATTTCCTGGAGACTTATCCTAACCTTAACCATAACCAACACATGCCTAACCCTAACCCTTACCCTTAACCTTAACCTTACCCTTACCCTAACCCTAATCCTAAACCTAACCAAGTCTTCACCCTAAAATTAATGATTCCCCTCATGGGGACCTCCAATTTGTCCCCATAAGGGAAGCCAGTCCCCACACGTGACTATGTAAACATATTTAGGTCCCCACAAGTACAGTAATGATAGACCACACACACACGCACACACACACACACACACACACACACACACACACACACACACACACACACACACACACACACACACACATACCATGCATACATCACTTCAGGGGACATTACATTGACTTACATGCATTTCCTGGAGACTTATCCTAACCTTAACCATAACCAACACATGCCTAACCCTAACCCTTACCCTTACCCTTACCCTAACCCTAATCCTAAACCTAACCAAGTCTTCACCCTAAAATTAATGATTCCCCTCATGGGGACCTCCAATTTGTCCCCATAAGGGAAGCCAGTCCCCACACGTGACTATGTAAACATATTTAGGTCCCCACAAGTACAGTAACGATAGACCACACACACGCACGCACGCACGCACGCACGCACGCACGCACGCACGCACGCACGCACGCACGCACACACACACACACACACACACACACACACACACACACACACACACACACACACACACACACACACACACACACACACACACACATACACACTGAAACATCTCACTTTGAGAGCAAGCTGCAAACACACAAGTGTAGTCTTAAAATATTGTGTTGTCCCAATTCTAATAAATAAACGTTCCATTATTATTCCTATAATTTTTCTCTTGATATTTCATACAGAAAACTGAGCTATAGTTACTCTATAAAGGTTAATTTACATTGAAAAATGAGCTCCTCAATTCGAGTCTGAATTGATATCATAGTTTTCCACTGTTCAAAAATGACAATACCACTAGGATAACACAGATATGTGGTGTTCTGTTTTATATGGATATTAATTACCCTTAAAAGTGTTCGATAAAACATAAAAAATAAAAAAAGAGATGTGTGTTTCCTGGGTTTTAAATACACACACAGTAGTTCAATATTAGCTTCACTCCACCTATAAGTAACAGTCCCTGATATATTTGTTCATGTTTGCTTGTTTTTTGTAACTTTTGGAAAGCACATTTCAACAAAAACCTTCTGATATTAGAGAAATGAGCTCAGTAGATCCTGCCTGTCTGTTTCTTTACTTGCAGAGATTGAATTCAGTTCCGTTATTAGTCCTGGTGCAGAGCTAAAATCATCTGCAATGAGTTATTATTTTCATATAGTTCATTCTCCATGTGTCCTGGTTTACAAATTACACCTCTCTCTAACAATAATAGTTAAAAGGGATGGTTATTCGCTGAGTGATCAGGTTGGAGTACAGTTAATTGGACATTTAATGGTCTGTAGCTAAAAGTGATTCTGTTCTCCTCCCGCTCAGGAAAGTACTGCAATAGCTTGATTACTGTGGAGGTCAGATGGGTCAACATTTTAAAGAAAAAGGTAATGAAAAATAAAAATCTCTGCTCCCCTGTCAGTAGAAACAGCTTTATACTTTGTACCTGTATGCATGGATGTCAGCATTTTATACCCATAAACATACAGATGATGACTGCCATTATATATACCAATTTGCTTCACACATATCAAAAGGAAATCAGGTCAAAAGTGCATTAATTTAACATCTCTTTGAAATAAATGCTAACAGTGATCTGACAGCTAACTAGCTGTAATAGGGATGTTCTTTATTCCAGTGAAAGGATTTGCAGTTGTCTGGATGGCTACAAAAATACATGAGGTGATGATCCAAGACTGTATTAGAAGATTTTCTTTCTTCCAGTGTAGACTGTATTACCGCTAATTCACATTAGGTTCTTTAAAGTTCATATGAATTTGAATAAGGTGCTGTTATTTGCAGTACATGCGGGATAGACGCTTATATTATTTTTGTTGCAGCATTCATACTATTTTAAAAAACGAAACAGTTTTTAACCTCTGTCATAGTTATGAGCGAAATATTACACTGTAAGCACATTTGAATGATTCTCCAGATTTTGCAATTCTGGGATGAAATTGTGTTTGCTCTGTGTGCTGGTAAAAAGTGGATGCTGCACCACACTCATGAGGATACATCTTTGGGGACAGTCAGATATTTTTTAGTATGCATTTTGCAGATTCCGTTTGAGTATGACTGCAGTTAATTTTAGCTTTAGCTTTCCAAGAGGCATCCTTCTGAAAGTCATCTGCATGTTTAAGTATCTGGATAACTTCGACAACAACATTAACATTAATTGACAAGACAACAACTTCGTAAATCAGTTTCTTAAATCTGATTTTGCTAATAAGCTGTGAATGTGTACCTGAAAGGTACAGCTGTATGCTGCTCATGTTGATAAAAGCAATCATTTCTATTGTTGAAGATTTTGTGATAAGTAGTGTTGTATTGTCTTAAGATATTTTTAAGTAGGCCTAGTTGATGTTATAAAATATTTCAGATGTGAAGTGTTTCTTTCTTATAGTAAATTGAGGTGAACTGGGTTGGCTTTGATCAGTGTACTTTAATGATGTGATGACAGAAATGTATGAGATCCCTTTTTCTTGTATCGCAACCTTATCAATAGCTAGCATCAAATGCTTTTGCTGTTACTATCAATGTTTTTAAAGTCATCCCAAGATATTCCATCTTCCAAACCCCAACTATTGTATGCGCTGCCAGTTTCTGCCCTTTTGTACTCCCTTTCTAAAAATAGTAAATCTCTCCACCGAAAACACAATGGAGGTGATCAAACATTATTCTGTGCTCAGACAAGCCTCTGTATTTGGAATATGGAAAACTGATTTTCTGTTTGTTGTGTGAGGACATGTTTAAAGCCAAAAGGCAGCAACCTAAACGGTGAATTTCACCGACTTCAGTTCGTAAGCTTTCAGTCGAGTATTCTTAACGAGCCGTGGTAATATTCCATGATCGTTGAACCCTGCCACACCCTTCCCCCCGGTAATCACAACTGATTAGACCTCCGCTCACAGTTTGCCACTTGCCCGCCGCCATCTTTTCTCTTGCACTCTCTGCCTAGCAACAAGCGCTGGCGCCATTTTGGACAGGGTAGGGTATACATCAATTTAATGTAAATAAATCCATTTCACCTTGGTATCCATTGAATTGCCATCCTGCCCCCCTGCGTTTCTGTTATGCCATACTTGCGTTGAGCCCCAGCTGTGTACCAGGGGGTGGGCTGCTTTGTCACTCCAGGTCTTTGGTTTTATGCATCATCATAACCATGTATGACATCTTGCGTAACTTACACTATGCGCCTCCCATACTTTCCCCAAGTACGGTTTAGGCACTCGGCTCGGGCAGGAGAGGCTGTGTCAGCGTTGACTCTGACTGACCAAGTGTGATTTTTAATTGGATTTCTGGCTTTCTCCCATCCTCCCCAGGTCAAGCCAGTGGTGCTATTGCTCCCCAACTTGCTTTCTTTTCATCCACCCCTCTGTGCCCCCTCCCCCCTTTTTTTTGCCAGGTCCTCTTGTTCCTCCGTCTCATCTATCTCTACCCCTGCAGCTCCTGGCTATCTTCACCCTCTATGGCTCCTTCATGATGGCCCCCTAATCTCTGCCAGTGTGGTTCCATGGTAAGTAGGTGTTCTCCGCCACATTCTCCCCCAAACCTGCATCGAAACCTGACTCGTAGATCTGCTATTTCGGTTCCCTGCCCCTCTCTTTATCGAAAATTGCAACCCCACATTGTAAACTGGATGAAGCGGCATGGCTGCTTTTACTTTTTTCTCTCTTTACCGTCGAAGATAGGTCGCGTCTGAGGGGTTCGATATCAAGGCATCAATGATGCTAACAACGCATACCTAGGGCAACTGAAACAATAAACAAATGTTGATTCTCAAGGAAAAGATTGAACAAAAGGTAATACTGTCAATGTGATGAAACGTTGAGTAGAGTGAATGTGTAGCTTGTGTTACTTGTTTTTCACAAGGTAATCCGTTTCATGTCTAAGCCTGTGTTTATTTGATAGCTTGACAATTAATACGCTTTTAAAAACACACCATCAGACGCAGGGCTCTTATGTAAGACAATGCAATCACTACAATTATGTGCACATGTTTAATGTGTTTACAAACCATACAATGGTAAAAAAAAGGAATGTCCCAGCGCTGTGCTCTTGTGAATTAACCAGACTGATCCTTTAGGTTTCTTTCTCGTCTTCATCTGCACAGCAGTTTTCTGATTTCAGCGGTGCCAGCCCCCTGTGAAGTCCGGCTTGTACCAAGGCTTATTAAACTAGGCGCCTATTCACTCTCCCCAACCGTCGCTCCACTGTCAACGTAAGCCCAAGCCCCTCAAACACTCAACTCCCCGACTATTGTTGCAGAATTGGCCAAAAACGGAGTAACAGCCGATTTGCAGCGGGATAAAGGGAACTGCCCCGCCTATCCTTATATCTAATGCATATTTGTCTTTTGATGCATTGCAATCTACCCCTGTGGATGGTTCTTAAAAGATGTATTTTTTTCATTTATGAGCTCCTGTGATCTGATACGAAGAATAAACAAACTGAGAGCAAACGTTTTTAGAAATGGCTCCCCATATTTGTTGCGGCCTCTTGTGATGCAATGCAAAAGGAAAATAAATAATGTTTTAAAGTCCACATGATTCCAAATTCATACACCCAAGGTTTGTTGGGAGTTAGAGTAGGTTGTGTGGAGTGAGCAGACCTTTGAAGATCTTTCAACTCCTGTAAGCTCCAGGCCTATGAGGTGCAGTGCCATCCTTTTAAGGGAATGACCATAACTTTGGTCCCCTTGCTTCTAATCCCTCCCCCGGACCCTTGTCATCAGAGATCAACCAGGCTGAGCCTTAATATCCTCCGCTCGCTGGCAAGGGCAGCTGTTAGCTTTCATGTATATGAAGAGTCAGATGAATATGCTTAAATCTGCACGTTGGATCAGGGATTGATGCCTTTATCTTCATGTGTATTTCTTTAGTTTATGTTCTTTGACAAGTTATCAGTTACATTTGTAGAGCCTGTTCTTAATGATTCACATTTCCTGAATGCAATTGAAGCGTTTGTAATAAAATGTTTTAAAAGCTTTGATGAATAAGCCTAAAGAGCACAATGCCTTAGATTTTACAAAAACAGTGCAACGAGACACTAAGTGCCTGTTGTCTTTGCTGTCTCTCAAAACTATCACGTTTCATTAGCAACAATTCATTTTTGTTGTGAGATACTGCATTTGAATACTTTTGTATGATTTCTCCAATCTCTGTTGTTTGAGGTTTTACTTGAAAAAGAGATCACATTGATCACGGTCCAGGGTATTTCAAAGCAGCGAGTAATCGCGAGTGTTTAATTTTATCTGTTGCAGTATGCATTGCAAGTCGGCTGTGTAATGAAGCTTGTGAACTCGACATCTGAAGGAAGGATTCGTTTTCTGATCACATCCCTATTGAAGTCTGTCCATTCGCTGAACATGGTGTGGCTGAACATGGTGTGGCTGAACATGGTTGTGGTGACGCACTCAGGCGTGCAATCCTTGGTATGTTGCCGTCAAATTAATATGTACTTGACATGATGCTGTATGTTGTTTTTAGCTGGTGTCTAGTGCTGGTTGCAGGCCTGGGGGCCCATGGGGGCCACATTTTAGAGAGCTGTAAGTGAGGACTCATGGCGATCTAACTGTTAACCCTCAACGTTACGGGAACACCCCAGGGCCTAACTCCACAATGATGGATGCAGGGTGGCGGGGGTTAGGGGGCCCCTCACACAACCCAGGAATTCCCCTTGGGCCTTTTCAATTACAGTTAGACCAAGCTAGCTCCACACTGTGATGATATGTTGCTTTAAGGCGGTGACATTAATGAAGGGGACACATGTGATTTGGTGTGCTGGAGACCCTGAAGGGCGAGCCACAAACAGAAGCCCTCTCATGGCACGGAGGCAACAGGAAGAAATGCAAGGTAACCCATTGTTGCTTTATTTATTTACAGTCATCAATAAAATAATCCAAACTGACCAAAGTGTCATTTAGGCCCCTCGGAAGTTAAAGAACTATTGATGGAAATAGTTTATCATTATCCACAGGCTAAAGGGAGCACGAGGGGCATGAGAGAGAGTAATTAGCAACGAAGGCTGCTTTGAGGAGCCCAGGTAACGGATTTAACAGTCGCAAAGGGATGGACTGTCCCTTCATCTTGTCCATGATCAATGAGGTAGCCTAAGCTGGTATTGGCCATATGCTATGATATGGTAATAGGTTGTATAATGTGTAGGTGTGTGTGTGAGCACTTTTAACACATTTACCATCTAAAACAGCTGCTGTGTTTTGTCCCAGGATTAGTACTGTGCTAGTATCACTGCTGACTCAAACCTGTGAAGTTTGCACTCTTCCACAGATGACTTTCAAAAAGAACAAGGCAGAACTGTCTGTATCTATTTCTGTCTGCAGGGAATAATCCTGTGTTCGAGGTGTCTGGAAGAGGCAGGGGATCAAAAATCCATCGCCTATGCAAAACACAGTGTTTCATATAGTTCCTTTATTAAAGTGGGATATGGCTGATGTAATTAGCCCTTGTCCTCAGCTCCACTCCTGTATCTACTTTATCTTTAGCCTAGTGTTGTGTTGGGAATGTCATAGTATGCATTCGGTTATGTAACTGACACAATTGTGCAATCCATCTGTACAACTGGGGTGAGTCTCACAAATGTTTTATGTGCAACAAAAATAAAATAGTCCCTTGGAAACGCAACGCCTTCAGTGTAACACATTCAAACCCCCACTCAGCTTTGAAAGATATCAGGTCAACGCTCCAACAAATTCAGATTTCTGAAGAAAAGGAAAGAAAATAGTTTACTTTAGAAACAGAAATTGTACAATATCTGAGACTTTTAAGAGTGCCAGCACAACAAGCCCAGATACCACGTTTAATCACTAAAAACTAAGCATGTGCTGCATTTGACTTTCATTATCACCACTTGATCATTAACTCTGTACATTAACTTAATTCAGAGTATGCCGCGTCCGAGGGGGCCATTAATAATGCCAAGAAGGAGCCTAGGAGGGAATGGGATGCCCCTCCCTCTCTCCGGCTTGTTACTACGCAGCTGTACTGTAAGTACTTCATGTGTTTTGAAATGTTATACATTTTTTTATCCTTTTATCCACACATAAAGAAAAGATACCAGCCAGTAACATAAACAACAGAGTAAACGGATCAGGAACCAGGATGGGCTGTTGGTAATACACACATGTGAATGAGTTGCCAGAGGCACCGTGAAGTCACTGACACAATTATCTAAACACGTTTTATTATTCATCTCCCTAATAAAACAGGAATTACTGTTGTTCCATGTTGTGAATCCATCATCCAGGATGCCTGTAAATGATCTCTCATCTCATTTATCATCTACCCTGTCATTTATCATTACATATTGATATTAATTGATGTTGCTTTTTCTATTAGTTCAGTTTAATGTGTGGGCAGCCTGAGCAATGATGCAGATTAATACATGTCTTTTATTGTCCCTGTAAGCCAGATGTTTGGGGTGGAGTAGTGGCGTGCTTGATTGTGTGTGTGTGTGTATGTGTGTGTGTCTGTGTATGTGTGTGTGTACAGCATCATTGATGTAGCTCACAGATCACAGAAGTTATGAGAGACTGCTCATTGATCATTTCCAATTCTAAAATAATTTCCTTTGAACGTTTCAAGTCACTTGTGCTTTTATTTATAAAGCCTATTTAGACAATCAAGGGGGTGCAAATAATTAGGCTCACATGCACACGAGTGTGGACATGTATTCCCTTTCAATCAGTTAAAACCAGCTCTGTTAATTAAAGTTCTGAGCTGTTACTCTGCCCAAATAATTTTCTTATTAGCTGCTGCATTCCTCAGATCTGTTGTCAGCTGAGCGTATTTTCTTTTGGTTGCTCCCATCGTTTCTTTTTTTTCACAGAAATCCCACTGACCCATATAGTTGATCTTGTTTTTGAAGCGTATAATATAGATTCCAATTTAAGAGAACGGAGGCTCTATTATTAGTCCCATTTGAGTTGCACTGCCTCCTTCTAGGTGCTGCTGTGCGTTTCTGAATTCCCTGAGTGGAGGCATTACCATCTCATTTGGGTAAGGGTGAGATTACCTCATGCAACTGAGCTGTTTCATCACAACAAATGCAGGGAGCTGTCGCTGGTGACTGTTTATACAGGCAGCTGAAGGTAGAGGCATTCCAGCTACATTTCACAAACATCACACATGACAACTTGTGATGCCACCTTACTGATGTTTCCCTTGAAAGGTCTTTCACTAACAACAACATCCTATTGATCCTCAGCACCATTTTAACAACCTCCTCACACCCTCTAACACATACACACCTGAGTGGGTATGGATCGAAAATGTTAGCAGTTAGCGGGCTAGCATTGCCAACACATCCTTAGGGTGGTTGTCAATTAGGCCCCGTCATTGTGGGATTGGCCCTGGAGGAGTCCTGCGCAGGGAGAGTGATGGAAATCAGCAGCCTAACACACGGCTCATCTCAGCGCTGAATTAATATGCAATACTTACATTTTCTTACTGATTAAAAGGCTGTGGCACGTGATGAGCTATCAAAACAAGAAATAAA